TCTTGCAATGCCCAGGTTGAGAACCACTGACTTCAGACGAATCACCAGCGGTGAGAAGAATTCTGTGGCCACACAGACACGCTTTGTTTTTGTTTAGTCTGTGTCTGGCAATTTAGCCTATTTGGAGTTTTCTACAGTAAACATTACTGAAGTCAATTCACTTTGTTTTTGCCAACTGATTGATTTTTGTCTTAGTGGAGTCTTTTAGAAGTGCTTGCAATGCATTATAAGGCCAAAGGATTTGGGTGAAATATCTGATTGCAACTTGTTGCGATTATTTTCTGTAAATTAACATCCAATGGCCAAAAAACGCCAGCATATCCATTGTTCAAACCTTAAGCCATTTTTCTGGCTTGAGGTTTGAACACTGAACGCAGTGTGCCAGACTGCCAGTTAGTTGTGGTTGTGTTGTCGTGTACACATCATGTGGATGTGTAGTTCACTCTGGTTTGTTTAACTCATCTACAGGCACTTCATGAGCTTTGAATTATTCTCCTCTTAAAGCATGTAGGCTATAATTAAAGTTGCAGCTCTTGTGATTTTGACATAAAGTAAATTAGGGCTGAACGATAAATCATTATAGTATTTCTTAACAAAGATTGAATCACAAATTGCCAAATTGAATCGCTACTTAACCCTTGTGTGGTGTTGGGGGGTCTGTGGGACCCATTTTCAGCGTTTACCACAAGAAAAAAATGATGTGATTTATTATTATTTCAACCTCAGATTCTTGGTCTTTGCTCATTTTCTGTGAAGAACAAATAAAATAACCCATTTTCAGTGTCTTCACTCTGTTCACCCCCCACACATTTATATTACACATGTGGTGTTGGGTGAACCTGCGGGGAGTAAAAGTGTGGAGGTGCTGTGTCCTTCACTCTGTTCTCCTCCTACATGGCCTGCTGTTAGTGTGTGTGTGTGTGTGAGGGTGGACAACATGGACAGGCTGCTGACTGGCTGCAGCTGCTAAAGGAGAACCCTACACTGGACACTTGTGCTATTTTAAACATCTGGTATTTTTACATAAATTGTTATGGCTGTATTGATTTAAATAAACAATAATGTGGTGGGTCCACCAGACAACTGAGTAACACACACATCAACACCACACAAGTGTTCTCAATTCACAGAAATCGTTTGTGAATCAAACCTAAAAGATTCACACCCCTGCTGTTCAGTTTGTTATTATTCAAACTGGTCTATTTGAACACTTTGGACTCGATTACTTGATTGCTAATGTACACAATAGTGAACCTGACACATGCTGTAAGTCTTTCTCGTGTGACATCGCACTGAATAGCCACCACCATTTTGAGGACTAAATCAGGGAGTGACTGCGCTGCACGATGCCTTCAATCTGCTGTGCTTTGTGAAAGATTCACCTGCGAGATGCGACAGAAGCCAAGAGACGAGAGACACACAGACCTTTAATTCAGTGTTTTCACTCCAGGTTTGGAGCCGCTGCACTGTATAGTTTAGTGTTTCTCTCTGCTGTTCACCTCGTTCAGCTCAAGAAGGGATTAATTAGCTAATAATATCAGGTATTTTAACCAGGAAACCACAGTTATGCAGTGCAGGGGTTTCAGGACTGGAGCTGAACTCTGAACTAACTGCACCAGCAAACTTACAGAATCACGTCTGATGAAACACGACGTCGCTTTCAGACCCACGACATTCAGTCTGATATTTAACGTTTATGTTTCTCCATTCAAACGTCATTTAAATCAGACACAGAGAGTAAAGTTATACCGGCTGTCTGCAGCTCCGTTAGGGGGCGACTGTTCATCTCTCGGCTGATAACATCAGCTAAAGTTATCTAAAGGCCAGCATTGATCACATCTGTGTTAATTAGCTGATGTCGTTTCCCTCCTATGATGACAGTTTTTCTCCTCTTTATGCAGCACCATGGGATCCTTTACCCGCCCTGACGTGAAGAGCCGGTGGGCTTCTGTGCTTTTAAATGCTGTGAGAGACTCCAGAATAGGGAGAGGGGCTGAGTATGAGATAAATATATCAGGAAAACACAAATTTGGTAGCTTTTCCACCAGTTTAAGTGGGACCAGGAGTTCAGGGGGAAACTGTATAAGGATCTCAACCTATTTTATCGAGTTTGTCGAGGAACGTTTTTGTCTTCTACAGTAAGGAGAGTAATTTTAGCCATCTTTCACCTCTAGTTACATTCGAGCCAGAAATTCGGTCCTAAATATGGTGGCCACGACAGAAAAATCACGTGACTGAAGCCCTGGGATACTGAGCAGTCATTGCTAATTATGCAGTCTCAGTTAAGATTTCGCAGCACCTCTCTTGGTGATTAGCTATTTCCACAAGCTCAGCTTTGAGTCCCTGTGTGCTGGTGTGTCACACGCAGCCTTGCCAGGCAAATGCAGCTGAAAATTGCGTCCTGTTCCCCTGAATAGTATCTGAAAGAGCTGTTCCTTGGGGAGCGTCTCTGGAGTGGGCTGGAGGAGGTGGGGATGTAGAGGAGGATGTTATTTTTGGAAGCAGGTCTCTGTGGTGGCTCCACTCAAGTCTCTGCTTGCCACACTGTGATGCTTTCCCTTTGGGACCCTTTCTTATTATACTTCACTCAGTCCTTCATTCATTTTTTAGGCTGTGTTAGAATAACTCAGTGATTTCCACGATGTGGAGAAAACACCGGCGGAACTGCATCAAAATAGATTTCGGATCTGAACACAGAAATGCCTGAAACTGGGAGATTGGGGGAGGTTTTTACAACCCCAAGTTGGGACGCTGTGCCAAACATAAATAGAAACTGAATGCAGTGATCCTGGTGTAACGTGGGGGAAGGAGAGCGACGAAGGCAGGAGTTGTAATGTTGTTTATTTAAGAACATAAATCGAAGAAATCAAACAGCCTGTTGCTCCCAACAGACATAAAGATTGTGAACCCTCAGTCCTTGTGTTGTTCTGCGCCTCATGGCTTCTCTCTGTCCGGTCTCTGAACACACACTGAGTGAAAAAGGCGTAACATAAATGGACGTCATGACTGATCAGTCCACCCTCCTGCCAAAACCAGCTCTCCACTCCACAGACCACGCCCCCACTGCCACACCCTAAATTTAATTGAGAATAGTACAAAGACAACATATCAAATGCTGAAACTGAGAAATGTTATTTATTTATTTATTTATTTTTTAATACATGCCCATTTTAAATTTGCTGCCAGCAACACGTTTAAAAAAAGTAAGCACAACACACCTGGTGGAACATCTTAAAACTAATTAGGTTCATTTGCAACAGGTCAGTAACATGATTGAGCCTGTTATGAAAATAGCATCTCAGAGAGTCTTTCAGAAGTAAAAATGAGGAGGGGTTCAACACTGTGTGAAAGACTGCACCATCAAATAGTGCAACAATTCAAGAATAACGTTTCTCAACATAAAATAGCAAAAAACTTTTGCTTTTCATCATCTACAGTACATAATAACATTAAAAGAGTCAGAGAATCTGGAGAAATCTCTGTATGTAAGGGACAAGGCCAAAGGCAGTGTTGGTTGGCCATGATTTTTGAGCCTTCAGTTGGCACCGCATTAAAAACAGACATGATTCTGTAGTGGAAATCACTGCATGGGCTCAGAAACACTTCTGAAAACCACTGTCTGTGAAAACAGTTCATAACTGCATCCACAAATGCAAGTTAAAACTCTAAAACACAAAGAAGAAACCATATATAAACAGGATTCAGAAACGCCGCCGCCTTCTCTGGGCCCGAGCACATTTAAGATGGACTGAGACGAAGTGGAAAAGTGTTCTGTGGTCCAACGAATCAACATTTGTACATCTTTTGGGAAATCATGATCACCGCATCCTCTAGGCTAAAGAGGAGAGGGTCCATCTGGCTTGTTATCAGTGCACATGGCATGGGAGACACGTCTGTGAAGGCACCATTGATTCTGAACAATATTTACAGGGTTTGGAGCAACATATGCTGCCATCCAGACAACGTCTTTTTCAGGGACGGCCTTGATTATTTCAGCAAGACGATGCCAAACCACATTCTGCATGTAAAAAAATGATTGTATTCTGTTTTTATGTACATTTTGCGCAGCGTCCGAACTTTTTTGGGAGTGAGGTTGTACAGAACTTCTACAAAATTATTACAAAACATATTAAACATATTTTGAGTGATGTGTTCTTGTTCCCTCTGGATAATAAATTCACTTTGGTTGTTGTTTTAGAAGATGCAGTTCTCTGAATTAGTGGAAATAACCGTTAACTGTGGGCATGTAAATTCAGAGAGAAAAACTAAAATATACCCTGGGGAATAAGAGGCTAAATTCACATTTATTATAGCAAACTTCAAATGAATGTGTTTTGCATTCTTTATGTTCTTTTATATTTTTTAATAATGTTGCGTATCACAAGTGGCCAGTGTAGGGTTCTCCTTTAGCAGCTGTAGCCAGTCTGCCATCTCCTCACAGAAGGGAGCCATCTTCCGGTTACAGTCAGAAACTTGACCCCCTCTTTCAGTTGGATTGTGATTGGTTCCTAGGCGCCTCATGGCTGGAAAAATATGGAGCTTTGAAATCGGATGAATCTTTTTGAATCACACTTTATATTCAGTATTGCTGCTGTTTGCGCAACTAAACTAAATTCTTTACTGTATTATATATTTTATTACTTCTATCCATTCTCTCTTTACTACAATGCACGAGGGATTTTTACCACGTTTACAATGTTGTGATTTTGGCCTGTGCAGTATTGATATTTTTATATTTATTGTGTTCTAAAAATGTTCTAAAAAATCTAAGATGAAAACTTCTAGGGATGTTTTGGTTAATCAAGGACAGAGCAGGTTTTGTGCAAAGTCTTCAATCATGTCATGTAAAGTGACGTCAGTTTTTCACCATTTTTTAAATACATTTCAGTATAATCACAGTGCTGTTGTGTACGTATCGTGCAGCCCTGCTGTGTCGTGCTGACTCTCTAAAGATCCTGCTCTCTGATTGCTCTCTTGTTCTGTCTGATCTCCCCGTGTAGCACCAGCCGAGTGGAAGATATTACCCGGGGATTTAAGACCTCATTAGCTGAACCACCGGTGAGTTCATTCAATTAATTATTTGTTCATTTATTTCAAACCCCACCTCCCACAGGGCCTTTCCGAGCTCGGTCTGTATGAAACACTGCACCGTTGGCTTTTAAAGGAATTCACATCTGTCTGAGCTCACAAGCTCAGTCTAAGCCTGTGTTGCGCCACTTGGACTTTCACTTTTGCCACAAGCAGCTTCTCCTGCTTTTCTGACCTCATGTGTACTGAAGTGTAGTCAAAGAGCCAGACATGTCTGGAGTCCAAAGTTTGCTTTTTTAGTTTTGCGCTGGAGCTCTGAGTCTAATGTAGTCGAATAATATAAGTATAGTTTTCTAATTAGCACTGTACAGTAGAGCTGAACGATTTGTGGAAAATATCTAATTGCGATTTTTCCGACTAATATTGCAACTGCAACTTAAATTGTGATATTTTATAAATTGACATTCAGGCCTGATTTATTTTGGCCAAGAAGACCAGAACCGCCTATTTTGGCTTGAGGCTCGACCCCTGAACGCAGTGTGTCAAACTGCCAGTAAGCTGTGGTTGTGATGCCACAACACATGGAGGTTCGGTTGCCTCTGATTGGTCTAACTCACCTACAGGCAGTTCACAAACTCTTATTAGGGTCAGTTTCCCCTCTTAGAACTTAAAACAACATTTTTGCTGATTTACACGCTTAATAAAGATGGTTCTTGAAGGGTTCTTTAGTAAAGACAGTGGTTCTGTGTAGAACTATGAACACTCACAGAACCTTTTGCATACTTAAATGGTTCCTTGCATGGTAAAATAGTTCTTCGGATTAATGGAGAATGTGTTGTATATTTTTGAAAAGAGTTCTCTGTAGGACCAAAATGTTCTTCTGTTGTTATAAGCTTAACATCAACAAACAAGTAACAATAGCACGACCCTTTTTGAAGCTATACAGAACCATGTTCCACACATTCTCTAATCTGAGGAACCTTTTCACAATGCAAAGAACTTTTTATGCATGCAGATGGGTCTGAGTGTTCATGGTTCTATATAGAATGACTGTCTTTACTAAAGGACCATCTTTTTAAGAACCTTGAAGAACTAAGTTTTTAAAGTCTGGGCTATAATTAAAGAAAATCGCAGCTCTTGCGATTTGAAAATTGTGCTGCCTTCAATTGCGATTTCGAAATAAAAACGATTAATCGTTCAGCCCTGCTGTACTGACTGTGCATGCCTCAATCAAATGCGCCGAGTTGTTGACACATCACTGTCTCTCAAGTTGACAGCGACGGCTGTATTGATATTAAATTTTTACTTTCACTTTCTTTATTTCACACACCGTGCATGCATGAGTGAGACAGATACTGCATAAAAGGCATTTACAGCGTCCTTGTGGCAAACACAGCGGTGGACAAAGTACACAAACCATGTACTTGAGTTAAAGTAGAGATACCCAAGGTAAAATATTACTCCAGTAAAAGTAGAAGTTCCTCCCTTTAGACCTCCACTTGAGTAAAAGTACAAAAGTATTTGCCTTCAAATGTACTTAAGTATCGAAAGTAAAAGTACTAAAAGATTAATTATGGCTCTGATGTCCTATTACCATTTTTATAACAAGACTCTTGCATTATTAACTTGTTCGCTATGGCTGACGTGGACGTGCATGCGCTGCATCTCTTCTTGCAGCAGATTTAAATGAGTTTAAAGGGTCATTCAGCAAATGCTCAGAATGGATAGCTGGCTTTGTTCAATAGGGTTAAATTGGTTGCTTCCATAGTATTTCAGTTTTTGACATCGTTTGAAAATTCCTGTTGTCCTTTACATGGTTTGTAAATTTCACGATGAATGGACCAAAAGAAACGACCCAGTATGACTTGGGAAAAAAGTCTGGTTCCGTTGACTTACATTAAAACTAAAGCAGGTTTTTTCCTTCTCCTGTAAAGTCACCATTTTGGAGATACGAGGTTTTGTTCTGACCACAGCGATATGTTAGTGTTATTTTATGCGCATAAGTAAAACTGGATCTTATTTGATCACACTGGAGATGCATTTTAATGAAACGTATATATCACTGCTGTCAGAACAAAACCACGTATCTCCATTTTTGTCATTTTTCAGTTTTTGACATAATTTGGAAGTGCCTGCTGCACTTTACATTGTGGGTAGATTTTGTGATGAACAGACCAAGTGAAACAGCCTTTAATGATTTAAAAAAACTTCTGGTTCCATTGACTTACATTAAAAATGAAGTATGTTTTTTCCTTCTCCTGTAAAGTTACTATTTTGGAGATACGAGGTTTTGATCCGACAACAGCGATATGCAACACAGCCAAAGTATAACCAGATACAATGAAAAACATGTTAATACAGGGTGTAAATAAGCTGTTTGTTAGCTGTAAAAATGTTTTGACTGTAAGATAATGTTTTATATAGAATTCGACAAAAGTACAGTCCTTTCGAGAGCTGTTTTGCAGATTTAGGTGTGCAGTTTGCACAATGCTAAGCTTTCAATAGACATTAGTGACATTAGTGTCGGTGCTATTTGTTATTGTGCGAATATGATTCTTTACCAAACTGTCACTTTAAATGCACCGTGTTATACACCTCCATACATCCTCCACTGTCTTCAGGGGTTTCGCATTGTGGTCTGCTGTGAATTCACAGATCTGAAACACGGCAGCAGCTGTTTGTGTTATTTGAGAAGCCAGTGATTCACATCAAATCCTCTCAGAGGAGGAGAGAAAGCCTATCGACAGTGTTGCGTAACCGAGGTAGTGCAGAGTGTCCACAAACAGCCAATTGTTCGTATGGCCACTTATTGACGGCTGGTTAATTAGGTGTCTCCACACAAGAGCCGTGGTCATACCGCCTATAGCGGCGTGTGGTGCTGGAGCCTGGGCAAATACATGCCGTCCAGGGGAGTAATGTGTTGCTTAGCAACTGCAGCACACAGTAGGTAATAAAAGATCAACACCTAAACCATTACGAGAGACGTCATGGTCTTTGGGTGGAGGACATGTTCTGGCCAATGTGGATGTAAATGTGCGCCGGCTAATTGGATCATGGGGGGCTGGCCGTGTTCGGATGGGAGGATGTGTGTGTGTGTGTAAAGGATACACACACTGCTCGCCCTCTCTGTTCTGGCTATTAATAGACCGTGAGGCTTTGTTGGGTTTGAATATTGAGGCGCTGCTGACATATAGGCCTTCCCGTTTGATTGCGCGCCGATAATCCAGGCTTTTGTTTAGTGTAAATGTGTTGGACGCGGATGTTTCTCACCGTCGGTCGCTCGCCCTTATCTCCTGTCAGGTCCGTGTTGTGAAAACTCTGAGTGTTCCGACTACAGACGCCTCAGTCAACCACACACAGCCTTAGAGCTTGAACTCATAACTTTGTCAGCCAGTGTTTACAATCTTATCAGCTGTTAGGGGTGTAAAAATGTACTACTGCCATGAAAGTGGGGGTTTAGTTGCACTGATTTTTGGAGTTGGCACAATATCACTTTTTCCGATATGATATCAGTGTTGAAACCCTCTGCTCTCTAGGCTGATATGACTATAACGTTAGCAAGATAAAGGCTTCACCCACCGCAGTGCAGGGTCAGTTCCAACTAAGTGATACTGAAATAACACCCATTTAGAAGATAAAGGCCCAGTCCCGTTTCACCCCTCGCCCCTACCACTCAGCCCTTAGCCCTCTGTTTTGCGCGTTCACGTCTAGGGGTAGGGTGTCCCAATGTTTGTTGAGATAGAGGGGTGGGGCGAAGTGTTTGGGCTACATGACCCTCCAAATGGAGTTTTTTCAGAGACTCCAAACAGAGAGTTATGAGAAAAAAAGAAAAACTGGCAAGATGGAGAACAAGAGACCAAAGAAACCCACAAATGTGAGAATTTTCTCTGTTAAAAAATTACAATAACCACTGAATTATCTTAGTTTAATGTCGTTTCAGTGTATTATGGTCCTTTTCTTCATAACAAGCATTAAAAATCACTAATAGCATGCTAATGTCTCGGTAGCTAGCTAGCTAATTTTCCCATTCCACCTTAAATAGTCCAGCTGTTCTGACGCCTGAAGCACCAGAATGTAACTGCTGCACCATTTAAGGTGGAACGGGAAAATTGAACAAGAAGCTGGTGAATATCTGACTTCAGCTTCGTATCACTGAAGAATTAGGGGTGGGTGATAATAAATAATTGCCCCCCTCTTTGAAGGCATATGATGTCCTAAATGTAACTAAAGCCCAGCAGTGAGGAGCTGAACTTTACCCTCCTCTGCTGTCACTGCAGACTGGCAGGGTCGCCTACAGAGCAGCGCTGGTAGCTGTTAATGAAGTGATGCTCTTTTTATTTGAGGGTCCCATTTCAGAGGGAAGATTTCAACCATTACAACTTGTAACTCAGTTCCAAGGGGCAAGGAGACACTGGAAAACAAGGGGTAGGGGTAAAAATAAGAAATGGGAGTGGGCCTTAGACTCCGAGAGCACAAAATCGATTGATAGCCAGAATGAAACGCGTTTTGTAGCATTTAGATTGTTAGCCGTTGCCGAGCGGCACCAGCACGGAACATCACGGTACGACCCTGGTACTGCACTGTGGGAGTCATTTAGCTGTATAGTGGCCAATAGGCCCTTTAGATTTCGCTGATTTACCTAATTGCAAATATTTAAACTGACTGCAAACATTTTTCACTTTACATTTCACAGTAATATTAAGCTGCAACAAACAATGTGAACTAATTGTGATTTTGATTTATTTGAGGCTAATAAATGTCAGTAAGAGAAAGCAGTAAATACATTGAGACTTGGTGTGTTTTTTGCTATATTTTCACTCTCAAGAATAAGAATAAGCTTTGCTTGACTACCCATAATTCTGTGTAACTAGACATTGGTGTGAGAGCGTGTGCACCCAACAGTGCAATGTACCAGTTTGACAGTACTACAAGTGTTAGCTGCATAGTAGACGTAGCCAGGAAGCAAGACGGTTAACAAGCAGGTTTAGCGACTTGTCAGCTTGTACTTTTAATAGAGGCATATAAAGAAC